GGGCTATTTTTTGGTTGCAGCCGTCATTGTTGTTTGGCGGGTCCGGGCTGGGGATTCGAACCCGCCACCTTAGGTGTACGTGGCTGGCACCTTAGCCGGTTGAGCTATAGGCGCCGAGCCTAAATATGGATTCTTCATGAAAAAAGGTTCCAGGATCTCCCTCCCTATTTTGTTCCAAACTTTCTTTCATATCATTTTCCTCTTCTTTCACACCTTGATCTGTCACTTCTAAGTCTGGATTCTAGAATAAAGCCTTTTATTGTTCCATGGAAACTCAAACTTTGACCTTGATTTTCCCTGGGACAGGAGAGGTCTCTGAATGAGACAGTGGAAAGGCTCATTTCTTTTTTTTCTTTTTGAAACAGAGTCTCACTTTATTGCCCTGGGTAGAGTGCGATGGCATCACAGCTCACAGTAACCTCCAACTCTTGGGCTTAGGCGATTCTCTTGCCTCAGCCTCCTGAGTAGCTGGGACTACAGGCGCCTGCCACAACACCCAGCTATTTTAGTTGCAGTTGTCACTGGTGTTTTAGCTGGCCTGGACCTGGTTGGAACCTGCCACCCTTGGTATATGGGGCTGGCACCCTACCCACTGACCCACAGGCACTGCTCCCCAAAGGCTCATTTCTAACTCCAGTGAGGTAGCAGTAGAAAAAATTGCTGGCAGAGAATATAGAATCGTCCATGTAGGCTGGCCTATGGATGGCATAGGTTGAAACCCCTGCCTTCATAGGTTGGCCTTAGATGCTTAGAAAATTGAAGACTCCTACCTCTATCCCCTTTTAGTAAGTATAATTTACTAAATTTCTGAGATGGACAGTGACATGGCTAATAAAATAAGTAAAATCCTATTCCTTAGCCGGTTCAGGTTCCCATTTTTGTTCTGTTCAAATTGATATTTTTGTTCTCTGAACACATAATTCCCAGAGAAATGTAGCCTGAGAATGTTCTAGATGGTCAGGTGGGAGTGGCCTTCATCTTTGAGATCTTTGCTCCTCTAGTTCTAAGCCTCATTGAGCTCTACCTCTTGTGCTTATAGGCTCTTAGGACATGTTTGAAGGAATGATAAGGTTTCCTTAGATAATTTCCATATAGAGTTTGGTGCTGAAGTATAAGTAATTAACTCCAAACTCTTTCCCCGCTCCCCGTTTAGCAGGCCCGGCCAGGTTCAAACCGTCCAGCTCTGGTGTATGGGGCCAGTGCTCTAACCATTGAGTTATGGTTGCCCAGCCAACAACTCCAAACTCTTTTTTTCATTCATTCATACATTTATTCTCTATTGAGCTACTTTTTTTTTTTTTTGAGACAGAGCCTCAAGCTATCCCCCTGGGTAGAGTGCCCTGGCATTACAGCTCACAGCAACCTCCAACTCCTGGGCTCCAGCGAGTCTCCTGCCTCCGCCTCCCAAGTAGCTGGG